ATATTAATATACAGACTGCAATGTCTCAGACTCAAAGGTGAAGTAAGAACAAATCTTCAAGCATGTGAAGCCGAGAACTTCAAACTCTCACAACCACTCCCTATTAACAATGATTCTTTCAAAGATACTGACACTAGAAACACAAGAACTGATCAAATAGGTGAGATTTTCTGCACATCTGAAAGACTATGAGGTATAAAGCTATCATGAGAGAGGGGGTGTGTTGGGACATTGTTTGCAATACTGAAACGCTATATGTCAATTTCTTCGCACTGCAATTTTGATTTCGCTCAAATGGTAACAGGACAAGAGTTCGGAATAAAATATAAACACTAGAATTTTTTTTCAAAAAAAGATCTCGTTATCATTTGTTTTACTCATCTTCTCTCGTTAATTAATTTATTTATTGAAGTTTGTTCTTTACAGTATACTATTAATACATTTGTCCTTAATCAACGAACCTATATACACTGATATTAATTCTGAAATTTAGGTGTTTATATTTCGCTTATATTCGTATCCCTTTGTATGTTTACTCAGGGAATAATATGTTTCGTGACTACCAGATTTCTAATAAAAATCACAAAATCCGACAGACCCAGCTTCCGTTGTTGCGCTATTGATAAGTCACGTGAACATTCTTCAGTAATAGTTAGTTATCAGTGATTGGCAACGTTATTTACTCAGAAACGAAAGTTTAACTAGCCGAATGACGGAAACGGAAGTATAATTAGAGTTGTAAAAGTGTTCTTTTTTATTGTTGGTTTTAACTGTTCCTTTCGTTGTAGGTATTACATTTAATACACCAAATTTTCCATTTTCCATTTATGTACTTTTATATTTCTAACGAAGTCGTATTCATCATGCTTTTACTTTCGATAATTATAACTTTTATATATTCAATATTCCTTCGAAGTTAAGTTTAAAACGCAAATTCTGTTTCTTTTAACTTTTATTAAATAGTTTTTAAAGATATTGTAGATATTTTTCTTCTTTTCTTATGAATAATTAATCTTCATAGAAATATTTTTCGAATATTATTTGTGAATGCATAATTCATGGGTTATGTAATTAAGAATATAGTATTCTATGCTTACTAGGAAACAAGTTTCTGTTTTAGTGTTTCATCCTTCTTCTCAGATATATGGAATAAGAATTCGCTTTCATTTCAATTTTGTTCATAACTTGGTTCATAAGTGGGTTCCAGTTTTTCGAAATCGAAAACTTTTTACCCCTCCTCAAATCTTTTTCTATTTTTTTAATCCCTGTCTTTAAAAGCGATAAAATTGGAACAGGAAATTTTTGTTTCATATACATAAAAGATTTTAAGTATTATCTTAATCATCAGTGATTTATTATTGTATATGGCTTTAAAATTCAATTTTATATGTATATTTTTCATTGAGTTATTAATACTGTCCTTAAAGTATAATTTCACTTGACTGTTATTTCAATGCCTTGCTCGGAATACGTCGAAAATCTATTATTTTCCTTGAAAATAGATGTTATTAATTCCCACAATGTATTTATATATTTTAATTAAAACCTTTGTCACAAATCCCAGTTTTCTCTGCAACAAATGTGTATTAAATTCAACTAAAAATGTTGCACTCTGTTACTTTATCTAATGCTTTATTTGAATCCTGAAATAATTTTCTACTTCTTCCTATTACATCTTTGTGCAGATATGAACAAGTCCGGATTCGTAATTTTTTTACTAGAATTCGGCATTCAAAATACTGTCATTATTAATTGCTTATATTTATTAATAAAAACAATTTACAATAAAACATTTAAATTTTGCTTTAAATAATTAGAATATCATTTAATGAATAACTTTTCAATAAGTTGTAAATTATGTTTTTAATCCTTTTGCTATTAAATCTTTGATATGAAGTTATGAATTTTTAAAAGTTTTTTATATCTGTACAATCTGTCTTGGAAAACCTCTTTTCATTTATGATGTAATCTTGGGAATATTTTACGATTCGTCGTTATTTCGTCTGTTTCTGGATTTCGATTTCATAAACCTGATAGAAATTTTTTCTTCGAGTCTACTTACTGCAAAGTAATAAGCGCTATTTAAACGTAACTCTTTTCAGGTATTCCTAAGCAAGTAGCTTCCATAGATCATATTGTTGGGTGTTGAATTATACCAAAGTTTATTCGGTGCTACTTTGGTAGACCGTTGAACGGATTTGGCGATTTTTTTTGGCGAGCGATACGACTTATGGTAAACCCATTGCTAGACAAGTTATTCATAGTAACCGATACTTTGTCATTTTATATTCGTAGTACTCACACAAATACAATTTGGAATGCCAGACTTCTGGCTGAATGCAGTTAAAGCTGAATAAACGGTGCTACTTTGGTAGACGGTTGCACGGAGTTTTGGCGATTTACGTTGGCGCGGTTCTTACAATCGATTAAGCCATCTTGTTGTTACGTATTATACGCGTATTCGAAACTTACCGAAAAAATAAATATCGTTAAAAATAATGGAATAATTTTTTGTTGAAAATCTCGTTTATTAAGATGGCAGGCAAATGTAAATAAATACATTTACTATGAGTATAGAATATTAAAGTAAGGTTTAATTATTACTTATATATAACAACGAAGTAGAATAAAAACACCGCTATAAAAACATTGCGCCAACGTTTAATTGGATTAAAATATTACTTAAATTGACTATCGAATTAAAAACAGCATACCAACGTTTAAAAGAGTTAAAATATTACTTAAATTCAAATTCTTTAAAATAAGTTTTATAGTATATAATTATTTAACGTTAAAACATATGTGGCAATAAATATCTCGGCAATTTCTTGAAAAACAGTGTATTAATTTTTTTAATAGAAATTGAAATATATAATTATAAAGAAAAATATGTACTTACATTTTTTTGAGTATTTAACTTGTCGTATATTGATAAGTACCACAAAAAAAATCGGAATTATAATTTAGATATCAATAAAAAAATTTGAAAAATGTAATATAATTTAAAAAATATAATCTAAGAAAAAAATTGAAAAATGTAATCTAAGGAATTCGAATAATAAAATTTTAAAATGGCGCGATAATGCACATATATACAGTAACCAATCAGGGAGCTGATTACAGGTCGTCAATGCACAAATACTCTGTAACCAATCAGGGAGCTGATTACATCACGGATAGAATTAAAATTATTTAAAAAATGCTAAATTGTATTTTAATATTTAACAGCCATAAATAATGTTTTAAACATTAGATTAAATGTATAGATATTAAAATCAATTACTTTTAAAGTAATATGACGTCATTCATTATATCATCCACAACATAAAATTCCATAAAATATCATAAACAGTAAAATTTTCATTTCAAATAAAAATGCAAAATTAAAATGACTTTTAATATTTAGAAGCCATAAATAATATTTAAGACACAGAATTTATGCATAATAAAACGCATTATGTTTTAGATATAATGACAAAGTATCGGTTACCATAAATAACTTGTCTAGCAATGGGTTTACCATAAGTCCTATGGCTCGCCAAAAACAAAACCGCCAAATCCGTGCAACCGTCTACCAAAGTAGCACCTAAAAAAATTCTCCCTGGACAAAATACATTTTAAAAATCTCAAAAGCGGAGACTAAATATCATCACATCTGCTACTCTAATAATTACGACTGTTAAATTAATTGAATGAAATTAATATACAGATCATAATATAATACAGACTGACAGACCGGATACAAACTGCAAGTCGCCATTTCATTTTTGCTATTTAACATTCGAACTCGTGTAGTAACTTTGGTAAGAACAATTTAACATATGTTCTTGTGTTTAGACTTGCAAATATAGTTTGAATGTCCCATTTACTGTAGCAGTATAAAGTTTTGAATTATCTCTTTCTTCCAAATAAGCAAAAGAGCTGGAGACGAAGAACTAGAAATCATACTAACGAGAAAAACATAGGTATTATACATAGGGCAATAAGATTTTCGAATCGCTAGCAGTTTTGTTTCAGATACGTAAAAGCAAATTAAGCATTTGCTTTCGTTATTGACAGTTTTAAATTCTTTTGTAGATTCTTTTCCTAGATCATCTTACTAAAGTCCTTACTTCCGCATATATCAACTTCTATGCCATCATTTTATGTCTGGAATCCGAAACTCAAACAGTAACTACACTGACATCTGTTTTTACATGGATTTATTAACATTGTTTTCATTTCACACGATATTTAGAAAATTCAATTCCCTTTTTATACTCTGTATATTATAAAACTCTTGTACTGTTAGAGGAAGTTATTACATTTGTATTCACAAATTTATGAGAAACGTATTATTCTAAAAATATAATTAGAAATATTGATATGATTTGTTTGAAAATAAATCATTTATGCTGAATTTTGACTTCTAGAATCGCTTTTAACTTTTTTATTTGCATTGTACTTTTATTATACATTCTGACAGAAATTTTTTTGGAATTATATGCCATAAGAAATTATTCGTACTGGCGGTATTTTCTTGTTGTCAATTAAAAATGTTAAATTTTATTTAGCACATTTATTGTCTTAAATAGATTCTTCTGTTATACTGCAACAAACAATTTTATTGTTGAATGTGGGAAATAATAAGATATTCTATGCCAGTTGGACTCATAATAGCTACATTTCACTTCTTGTGTACTGTAGAAAACTATTTGTGAAGTTGCTTGTAGAAAACTTAGGCTTACTAAAATGAAAAGCAATTAACTAGATTCGGTATTCATATTTTTAACTTTAAATTTTTGAACTATCTCACTGCTACTTTGTCCGTCGTTAGGTATGGTTTTATTACATTTGATCAGTGTTAGTAATTCATGTCGAATGAAATATAATATTTAATTAGTTTTGTAACTGAAGTCAATGTCACTCAGAGATTCGTTTCTATTTTAAAAGAAACTAATGTTCTTTATCTAAAATTTTTAATTTTTTTTTCTAATAATTCTTTTTTATTCTAATCATAGGCCTAAAGATAGTAAAGAAGATATTCAGCAATGAAAACTTGTTTCTTCTTGGCGAAATCGATTAGAAATATGGGAGCTTTAATCTTTATTTGTAAGTAAATGTAAGCTATTTCTTTCTGAAAACATTTTCATATCAAGGTAGCTAGATCTGTTTTTCAATTTTCGAATTTTTTTTTCTTAAATGGTTTGTCTATCTTGCTTTTACTGAAAAAACGGTAATGCTATTTCAACTTTTATCACTAATTACAAAAATATCGTTATTATCACTAAAAAACCTTGTTTATTGAGAACTTGAGTGGCAAAATAAAACAAAATTTCAGTTTCAGTTCTAGAGTTTAAAATAAAATTTTAAAAGCACTCTTATTTTCATACGGATTAAAATGAGAGAGCGGATGTGATGACACCTTATTAAAATAAGGAAACAGAGAATTGCAAGGAAACATGGAAGGAATTACTTATGCCAAGAAGGAATTTCCTAAGGACAACCAGTTTCATAGATTTTATTTTCGTACTACATGGAATCTAATTTGATAACAAAGCTTATATATGCATATCCAAAATATGATTTATATTTATAACTAATCGATAAAAATTTCTTATTTCTGCTGTCAAATAAGCAAGAAAAGTTACTGACAGTGGCAAGTTTTACAGCTAAACATGAGAAGTGTTGGACTCTTTCTCTTACGTCCGTCCTGTCTACCGTTCTGTTGGTATAGTTTCTATACCTGTCATTTTATGTTTAATCTGAATTGTAACAAAAGTGCTTAAAACTAAAAGATCTATATTTATTTTCATTTTAAGTCAAATGCTATTGACCATTCAAGTATTTTTAATTTCTAAGTTTATAAATTTTGTTTGAATAAAAGCTTAATTTTTTGATGAAATATTGTAAAATAATGGTAATGTTCAGTCGTGGTAGTTGTAGTAATTTTATATGAAACCTTTTATTTACAAATGCTGAAAAATTCAATGTGAAGTCAGTATCAAGGTATAGTTTTATGCACTATAAATTTCATAAATGTTTAGTATTGAAGTTCTTTGTTAATTTCCATATTTTAAAGCATGAAAGATAATTCTTATCAATTGTTTGTGTACTGTAGAAAACTATTTGTGAAGTTGCTTGTAGAAAACTTAGGCTTACTAAAATGAAAAGCAATTAACTAGATTCGGTATTCATTATATTATTAGAAAGCAAATTTCAGAAATTTTAAAGATTGTTTTTCTCTGCTAGATTAACGGAAAACAAAGGTTAAATATGGTTTCAGTGGCTTTATTTAATTACAAGTATATAATTACCATAAAAATGCGTTGAAGAAATAAAATTTTTATTTAAGATTATTTCTTTTAAAAAATAGTTTTCAGAGGGCAAAAAATCTTTTTTTCTCCTTACAAGATGTTATTATTATTATTATCTGGTCAATATGAAAGACAATTTTGTTAGTTTGATTAATTTCTGATTTCTGTCAAACAATTGTCTGAGAATATGAAAGAGAAATTAAAGGATCTTTTCTGTTCGCAGGATCTCGCATCTTTGCTATTCTTACAGCTAAACTGATACTACGTACCCAGTTCTCTCTTTTCTAGATTCTTATCTGTAAAAGGAGCTTCTGACATTAACAATATCATACAGAGAGCAAAGATGGCAAGAAAATGGCGAGTGATGAAGTTTTTTTTTTTTTTTTTTTATCTTAAGTATTACTGTGTCCAAATTGATCGTCCTTCTAATTCTTACACTTTTACAAATTCTGATCTCCAAGAAACATTTACTGGGATTGGAGAGCAGGGAAGACAACAATGTCAGAGATAAAATTTTATCACTCTTAAAATGCATGCTGAGCGTTTTTTTCATCCCTGCTCTCCACCGATTCTAGTCCCTGTGGAAGAGAATCTTTAGGGGATAACTTCTAAGAAAAGCAACTTATAGCATAGAATAGATACACTTTGAGTCTTGTATCTTTCTCATGAGCAAGCTGAACATTACTGATAATCTTATCTATTCTATATTTTAAAATGAAGGATGAAACGCAGCTGTGAAAGGCAAAGGAAAAGTTAAGATTTGACATTTTTACCACTGTCATATCTACGCTGATTATCATTAAAATTCTATTTTTCCTAGATTCTGCTCTCTTTCATACAGTATCGCTGAAAATTATCGTGTGATAGAAATGGATAAATAGAAGTGTTAAAGAAAAATATTGCATCTTCGTAATTTTTTCTGTCTATGCTGATCATCTTCATCATTCTAATTTTTCCAGACTTCTCCTTTAGCAAAGTCATATCGATGAGCGTCATGCGATTAAAAAGACAGGGAAATGGCTGAGAAGGAAGTCTCCTCGCATCCTTATCATTCTCGTGTCCAGGCTGAGCATGGATCGAGATCTGGACGGAGAACTGATAAGGGCACGTGGAAGACGACTGCGACTCTTCATCAAACCTTCCTCTCCAAGTACAAGGAAACAAGGTAGACATTCACGTGTATAAACAAACAAATGAAGGCACACCTCATCACGGAATTCAGGTGGTTCTTCAGAGAAGATGTAGCTTTTGCTCCACAGCCCTATATTCCAAAAAAGTATGTGTTTTTTAATTATTCATAATCAAAATATTCGCTTGAGATGAAACACGTATTGCTTCTTATAATTAAATTCAATTTACTGACGTTGCAAATATTCTTATTTAAATTAAATTAAAGTAACATTGTAAGGTTTTATTTTATCCGATTAACTTTGTTTGTATCTTTATAATTTTCTTTTCATTTCTCTCGCTTCGCCTCAACTGTATTTGGAAGATAAACATTAGTAAAATATTTAATTAGAAGAAGGAGTCATGAAATTAATAGATGTAATTCTTCTTGGGTTAACAACAGTTTTCCTTTAATATTGCTGCCGGTAAGAGGAGAAAACCTTGTGGCTTTTTTACTTTGACGGTAAGTAAAATTTAAGTCTCTATTAGTTAGGATGAAGTTCAAGACAATGGACTAAAAATATTTCATCTGCATTTTAAATGTAAATTTTATTTCACTTGTAGTGATGGTTTCTGAGTGTAGAAGAAATTTAGACAGTAATCTGCTGACTTTAAATTCTAAACATTACGGAAATCGTCATACATATCCAAACGTTACCAAAACAAATAACTTTCATAACATTTACTGTAGTGGGTTCTAGTTCGGGATTAACTAATCACTGCCATCTAACGCTTTAGCAAGGTTGTGATTACTGAAGCCATTGTTCTAAGCATATTAATATGTTAAAACTCGTAACTTAAATTATAAGCTATAATCTAACTGAACAAATTAAGTTTAATCTGGAACTTTTTTAAATCCGACTGATTAAAAATAAATAAATTGAATTTAAAATAGTTTTAGTCACATTTAAAAGTTAAATTTTGGTTAATTTTCCAAATTTTTACAAACAACTTTTCTACGTATTTCAAACATCAGGTGATTACTATGCATTTTTATTTATATATTGATCGTTTAAAACATTAGAATTCCAATTTTATCATCGTTTTCTAAATATCTAGATATTTTCCTGAATTCATTACTTTATTTTTAACAAAGTTAGACTAAATTTATGTCCTATTAACAAGATAGGAATATTGAGTGTAGCAAATTTTTTTCAATTTATTTTTCTGAAAATACAATCAAGTTTTCGCTTCCATTTATAATTTCTTAAATGTATTTTAATTATACCTTTGCTCTAGTTTATTCTTTTGAATGTTTATTACAAACTAAATAAATACTAAATAAAGAATTACTGGGCAGGTTATAGCCTAGCTATTAAATTAAAAATCGTTTTCTTTTAATAGCAACATAGTATGAAATTATATCTTTTCCCTTTATATAAAAAATATTCTTATGATTAATGGTAATAATTCTTATAATTAATGATTAACAATATCTTCAAAATTTAAGGGGGCCCACCAGCGGCCGAGCGGTAAAGTCACTGAACACTGGTAGTTCGGTCCGAGGTTCGAATCCCGCGAACGGGCCGGCTGCATGGGCGTTTTCGTGGCTTTCCCCATGAGCAACGTGTATACGAGCCTGTTTCCCCTAGAAAGTCCTTCACGAAAGCATCCCTCCCCTTAGGCAGACAGCCCTCGAGGCTTTGCCATAATCACACACACACACTCAAAATTTAAATAGTTGTATTTTGTTGTTTGGAAGTAAGTTGTATTTCCTTTATATGATTTGTGATATGTGAAATTTGTGAATCGATTAAATATGTATTTGGTGAAAAAGGAATGTAATTTTTTTAAATTTAAATAATCATATTTCAAGTTTATGAAAAGTGTGATAATATATTTTAAATAAATCTTACAAGTTGTTACGCAGTATTTTATGATAAAATTTATACAATGTGATACATCTATGTATGATTTTAAATGGCATTTCCCAGACTTAGTTACGTCCTTAATATATTTCGTGCACCTGTGAAGGTTCTATATTTCATTTAAAAACAGTATGATCTATATTTCATTATGTTCTATATTTATAGTATGTTATAGTATGTTCTATATTTCATTTAAAAACAGTTTATTTCACGATCCTTTTTTCTCACCACGGTATTCTTTGTATTTATTCAGTATTTATGATCTCTTTTTAAAATATTTGAATAACTATTTTTCATACATTTCTTTTATGATCATAAGTTAAAACTGTTTCATAACTTTCGTTGTTTTTTATACCTGTTTCCTATTACCCTGACAAATATAAAGACATCTTCAAGAAAAAAAAAGTTGTTTTTTAAAGGTAGGTAGTTTCTAATTATATCAAGCACCCGATTATTAAAACCGCAGAAGTTCTTCAACTAATATTTGAAAAAGACGTTACACAGATTCTTAATGCTATAAGGAATAACATTAAAAGTTTAACGTTAACTAATCGTTAGAAAAATTGAATAGATATATAAAATAAAAAAACTTTTTCAATGAAGGAGTAAAAGCTTAAACTGACATTAAAAAGTTTGAAAATATATGTAGAGAAAATGTCGTTGAGGCTAATCTCACTTATCTAACATAGTCAGAATAAGCCTACGAATTTTATCGTGTCTAAAAAGTGAATTATTACGTCTGTCGTTGGCATGAGCCTTGAGCATCCTATAGTTCAGAGTACAGCTTTGTCCAGGTACCCCCCAATTTTTAAGGAAAGCATCTGGAGGCCGGAGTCCAAGGATCTTCCACCCTTCTTTCCCAACCACTAAGCCATTCGATAGGACTTTTGACACACGGTATATTTTAAGTGTTCCTCTGTGCGGTGAAGACACTGTACATATACAAACAATCGGTACTATCTTCGGAATTCGAACCCTACGGTACGATAGCAAGCGTCAGTAGCCACTATAGCGTCTGTGCTGCAAATAACGTATGGATGAAGAAACTCAACAACCAATAAATTCAAACAAAAGGTACACGATCCTTTTTTCTCACCACGGTATTCTTTGTGCAAGATTTAACAGGAGCCTGTAAATGGACTAAAAACTGGAATGAAATTGAAGCTGAAATAACAATGATGACCAAGATGAAGCATTAAGAATGTGAAGATAAGTTTCTAACTATATTATGTAAATTAACAAACTGAGTTGGAATTTAACTTTGCACAGCAACTACCACTTTTACTTGGAAAACGGGAAAATGACTCGCAAAAGAGAATGTTAAGGACATTTTCTGCGTAAAAGCTTAATCCAGATAAATTTCCTTATTTTAATTAAATCCTGTCTCAAGTGATACACAGTGTGTGGTTCACTTAAAACTTATGAAATGTTTACTATTTACTATTTCTATAAGTTAATTATATGTTCATTTTTGAATTATCCGTCGTTTGCTGTAATCCATAAATAATGATTAGTAAAAGATATGAGAGCATTTTATAATTTAAATCAAGAAGTATTTATTTTTAATTTGTCCAATCCAATTCTAAAAGTTCCGGAACTGTAAAGTGGTTTTGAAAAAATTAATTTAATCACGCTTTCATCAGTTCTGTGGGCTTTCAATCCATTACGAAGTTGAAAATTGCCCGTTGCATAGTCTTATATTTAAACATTATTGCATATATCATCACCATAATTTTAATTGAAGCAAGGGAAAAGTAAAAGTGTCAAAATTTTCATACGGTTTAAAGTAAAAATTTCAAAATTCATATGTCAGAAGCACAATGGTTGGTCATTTTACACAGAAGTAGTATTTATATAAGTTTGTAAAATGTTTTGATATTCTAATCGGCCATTCAAAAAAATTCACAGTTTCATGAAATCTTAATTTTAAAAATCACAGTTTTATGAAATCTTAATTTTAAAAAATCACAGTTTTATGAAACCTTAATTTAAAAAAATTACCTTGGAAACGTGTAAGCAAATTTTCCTAAATTAAAAAATATATAAACACGTATACTTATAAATTAATTCTTCTATCATGACTAATTATGTATTTGTATAAAACTGTATAAAAAAGCATTTCATGTATAGTTCCGTGGAATTAATACGAAGAATTTTCTGAAATGCAAATGCAAGCAAACCACCTTTTCCTTTAAATGGGAAAAGCTTATAATTATGTTTTACCGTAACTTTGGTTCTAGAGCGAATTTTCACGTGAGGCTTTTTTAATACATCTAAGAAATCGAATTTCAGTGTTAAGTATAATTTCGATTATTTTGATTATCAAAAAGTACCTGCCCTTTTAAATCATTTATTTCTGCGTCCCTATACAGAAAGAAGATTCAAGGAGTTAACAAATTTAAGAAACAGAGTTTAAATCAGCTTTTTGTATAATCAAAATAATTTTAAGGAGATGTTTTGGTTTTTTAGTCACAGACTCCTTAATTAATACATCTCCGTCACAGTAAAACCACCAAACCCCAATCGAATTCCGCATCCATTAATACTAATAGTACAATTTTCGTTTTACCCACAAAGCCTTCAATAAATGCATCTTCATCACAATAAAGCTAACCAATGATTCAATTTCAAATCTAGCAACTGTACATAGATCCCGCATGCGAATGCTAGTCAGTTTCTGTTAGAAAGTCCACAACGGAGGCACTCTTTCTCTTAGGCAGGCAGCTCTCGTGTACTTCACATTAAACTTTTAAAAGTTGAATTCAGATCCAGGTTTATTTCTAATTACTCGTTTGCTTATCCCACCTTCTAATGTATTAGTTTAAAGGAATAAATCATTAAATGAGGAGAAAAAAATCTGACATATGATTGTTATGATATTCTTAATTGGGAACACTGGTTATGTCTGATTAAACTCACTATGCGGATAATAAAAATGCAATATTTTGAAAAGATTAAATAACAAGAAAAGTAGTGAAAAACTATGAATGATTTATTTTTAAATGATGTTCTCATTAATGTCCTCTTCTTCAGTGATGCCATCAGTTTCATCCAGAGGAACAAACAAATTACCTCATCATAAATAGCAGATACATCGGAATCATCAAGTGTCGTCAAGTATTTTACAGCGGGCCCTGCAGCTTTAAAATATGTGTTCGAATGATGACGACTGATCAACTAAAAACATTCAACATCTTTCAGCATAAAATCCGAGAAGCAGTTGCCC